GATGGCGAGTGACACTTTGGCGGTCGTCAAGGTGTTGGTATTGGACGAGTGCCATTGTTGTGTGTATGTGAACATGGTTTCCGTGCGTGCAGATGCCGGGAGCACGGAGGTGGTGGCGAGCGAAACCGGCGAAGGCTTGTTTTGTGCGTATTGAGAGGAGCGCAGCATCCGTGGTAGATGAGTGAACGGCGAGCGATTGGAGACGGAAGGCTGCGTGTCTCGAGCGTAGCATTGTTAGAGGTAGTGGTAGGAAGTTGTGTAAATTGGAGAGGGGAGGAACAGGAGGATGGGCATTTGGATAGTTGATAAAGTGGGAGATCATGGAGGGGTGGATGTGTGAGGTGAGTTTGTGGAGCGGAATCGACATTGGGTAGGACCCTTGCTGTGCACCATTTGCAAAAGTAATGGAGTCTGATTGACACCCTTTTGGCGTGAAAGTCCCTTGGTGTGCAAGAGGGGAACTGTGGTTAGGGCTGAAGGGGAAGTAATCTGTGGTTTGGGGAGATTTGGGACTCGGGCAACGAGTGGTGTCGTTGCGAGTGACTTTGGTGGACGAATGCCTTGGAACATGAGAGGTTCAGGATATCATTTATGGCAATTAAAATGAACACAATGGAGAGTGCGTTGCACAACGCCGGTAGAAACTTGTGATAAATGCACTCGTAGTCGGAAGGGATTACGTCGGCAACCTTGAGCGAATCCTGTTGTGAGAGGGCGCGTCCAGTAGTACGTTGTAGCTCATCACGTAAGGTGCTTTGCATGTATCACATCGATTAATGGTTCGGCCCGTCGTACATGGCGATTCTGGTTTTGAAAGTGAGTACAAGCGATTTTATTGTGATGTGTAGAATATGAATGTGCTTTTGTTAGAAAGTTGTTTCATAAATTTAGATCTTCGTCAGAAAGGTTGTCATTGCGAATATTTTTTCAGGTGCATACAGATCCATGTCTGTTACTTAACGTTGTAGTTTGGCAGTTTTAATTTTGTGGCTTTTTGGGAATTTGTAGATGATTTGCTTCTTTGTGCCTGGGTTTAGATTTTGTATTCCCATAGTTTGTTGTTACCTTGCTTTTTCAAACACAATCGTAGGGTTTGTCTGTGAAGCATTTCAGATATTAAGAGCTCTTATTCATTACAATCTTCACATGTTTTTCATGTGTCTTATGAAAGGCATCGTACATACTTTGAGGTGTTAAAGTCGGGGTGTGATTTGTCGACTTGTGTTTCTAGGTAACTGAAAAGATCTTTCCTTTACCAATAAAATAATAGAGTTGACTCAAATTAAACTACATTCATGATGAGTAAAAATTAGGGCTCGTGAGAATGGATGGAATTTCGAACCAATGATAATTTTGATTTTACATTTCAGGTTTGGCATTTCCTTACAAAATTAAAACAATGGAAGCTTCAAAGCTTTTTAATAGGTTTTAATTGTAGATTTGAATGTTTTAATTGCCATTTTGGGTGATTGTAAGTTGCAGAATTTGATTGCATTCAAAAATATTTGGAACGTATTTCAATTTAGCAATATACACACATTTATAGAACACTATGATGTTGACTTGATCAATGCACTGGTGAATGATGTTCTGTAGTTATGAACACAATTATTGAAATGTCTAATATTTGTTTACTAAGAATTTTGGGTAACAAAAGGTATAGTGGTTTAAGCACCAAGCTTAAGAAATGTACATTTGGATGTTGACCAGCCATTTAAATAGACAACACTTATGGGCACTTTATATTTAGAAGTCCATTTTGAAAGGACATTGTTTAAAAACTTTACCAAGGATCTCCAATTGGTGAAGAAAAGCCCTCTTCTAGAAGCTTTGTTCTTTAGATTTAGTATAAAGTGAGAAGAGGCCATGAAATATACCAAAACATTCTTATATTACAAACTCTAAATATGTTAGCTCACATCTTGATTTGAACAATTATGAGAAGTTTGAAAAAATGTTAATTTCGTATTTTTAATTGTAGTTTTAAGCATTTTTTACATTGCTTCTTGAATTTGTTTTATAACCCACTTCTTTGAGATGGATCCAACAAATGTTTTGTGAGACAATACTATGTATGCCATGTAGGATATAAGCACATTCCACCTCATTTGTTTCTCTTAAAGCTTTTGGACTTATTTTTCTAAGTGTAAAGCTGACTCAAAGAGATTTCTCAATTTCAACCAATCAAAATGTTTAAAAGTTGTAGTCTCTCACTTTTGGACTTATTTTTCTAAGTGTAAAGTGCCACTTTAAACAAATTTTTATTTTTTTGGATATTTTGCTAAGAGCATCATGTTATGTCAAGCAAGGTTGTACTTTTCTTTACATTAAATATTGAAAAACTAATAAAATATTGTCATTTTTATTACATGAGGCATTTAAGCTACTCCTATCTTATCAAAGATGTCTATATTGTACATAAGAAAATCATTAATTGAAAAATGATGAAATATTTTAGAATATATGAAATTTGAATTTTTTAAAACTCAAGCAGTGTGGAGATTTAAAATTTATATATTACTTTTATTTAGTTATTGCCTTAAAAATCAGAAATAAAAAGAACCAATGAATAAGTCTTATAATTCTTATAATTTTAACTTCATTGTATTTTCTATTTTATATATAAATTTTATTTTGGAATATATTACAGTTCTAATATTTTTTTACACAATGTACAAATGATAGCGCGTAGAAAGCAAATAATTATGTTAGATCCTATAACTGCATGAATGCATTTTACTTTGTAAAATATCAACATTGTGGATAAAATGTATGAATAATTTTTTACTTGATTTTATGATAATTACATACACATTTCTGTGTAAAAAACATTGATGCATTGAAATAATAATAACAAAAAGCCACCACAATCTAAATGTTAGTAATAAATTACAATTACAAATTTCTATTTTGATACAAAAATAAAATAAAGAAAAATAAACATTCTCATGGTCTTTATATAAACATATAGAATTATTTTGTCAATAATTGAATATTATTGTCTTGATCAAGAATTAAATATTTGTTTCTGAAAGGACGAAAATATATTTGGAATGGAATAATGTTCTGTATACTTTTTATAAATTAAAAATAACATCATTATGATTCTAAATATTGCTATCAAAGTGACAAATATTACATACCAACAATGATAGTACAAATTATTATGATAAAATGCATTGCAAAAAAATTCACATTTAAAGTTTTTAGAAAACTCCACAATGATCAAATATTTTAGAAGCGTATTTAATAAAATCATTGTTATATCGTAAATTCAATAATACACTTTTGTGGATATATGTTACATAGTAAAATTATGGTTGTAGATCTATTCAAGAGACATATACCAATATAAATGCCTCATTGGCACTATTATATTATATATGATGTAAGAAAGTAGAAACAAAGAAAATAATTATTATTAAATTAGGATAATGTTATTTTTAATATCAATATAAAAATAGAAGAATGATAAATTAACCCAAATTTTTACTAAAGCAACCCACTCTATCTTAACCATCATTGCACTCTTGCAGCCCCCATCCTTGTCTCCAACCGTTCTCCATTTCCAACCATTGCTAAGAATAGGGCAAGGGACTCTCAAAAATTATTGAGAGAATTTTTTGTATTATTATAAAATTTAAATTTTTAATTTTTTTATTGATGCTCTTTGCTACTTCTGCATACCTTCTCATTCATCTTTCTATTTCCTTCTCTCCTTTTTCTGTCTTGCTGCAAATGGCCTTAGAAAGGCAACTATATTGACACAAAGATATGATTTAATCCATTCAAATGCGAAAATTGTTCTGTCCCTCTAATATCTCAGATTGTCCAAATAAATATCAAACACTCATTTAAGTTTTTTTGTTTGTTTGTTTGTATAGTGTTATTTTATTTTGAATTTTTCAGACATGGTCAGGAGAGGTTTGTGGCGTTGATTAATAAGCTGGAAGTAAAAAAAACCCACCTTATGCTTTAATACCCTTGAACGGGCCTAAGGTGACCTTACTAGAACAACTTTTTATATAACTTGCCCATTTATCATATCTCCATTCAGCAAGAGAATAATTAGGCTGCTACATGGGACTATGTATTGCCACCTAGTTCTTGTTCTCTCTTTTTCGTGTGATGCTTTTGACTCATGCAAGAACTATCCCACCTTCTAAAGAATATGATTTTGGTGGCCAAGATTTTTCTTGATTTTTAGTTTCCTCGCATGAAATTCTCCAACAGTGATTTCAATACGTTTCAGATGTTGCTGTGATGCAATTATTGGAAACCAAATAGTTGCTCTCTACACGTAAATCTATGTGAAGAATAGGGGAGAATGCGTTGTTCAATTGTGCTATGAAATGATATCACCTTTATCTAATTAATGAATAATTTGCCTGTTGGTGGGGATTTTGAAAAACATGCTGTGAGGTGGAAATAGGTTGAGAGACTGAGAGTTTCGTGTGAAATTCGGATCATGGGAAGCAGGTTGCCCCATGCTGCACCCAAAACTAATGCCCTACCGCAGCCTTCGAGCTGCTTGCCAGATCCCACCGAGTTTCTTAGTACTGACACTGGACTTTGAGAGTCCGGCACAAATGCGACCTTCAGTTTAACACCAGCTAACTTGGGTGCTTAGAATGGGCACGGTGGTTCTGGCCGCAACTTCTGCTGCTTCCATGTGCACAGAAAGAAGTAACGTGAACTTTTAAAACCTTTTCAAGTGACTTCTTAATTTTTGCAAGATTACATCTCGTCTTTAGATAGGCTCTTCATTAACACGCCCAATGAGAGGTCTTTTGAAGATCTAAAAAGCAAAGGATAGACCTATTCCTTAAGCAATCTCTTTCCAGCCTGCAAAATAGTTGCCAACACACCCAACACACAATTCCAACCCTCGAATGTAGACTCCTGAGAAGTTCATTTGCTCGACCCCAAAACCATGGACTAGATCAAAGTTCAGGGGTTGGAAGTACTTGTGTACATTTAACAGTGAGGAACAATTTATGAACAGGAGATGAAGTAGCAGCCACGCCGTGCGTTGCTGGTATCAGAAGTAAACGTGTTCTTTTCTTTTTTTAATGTGAAGAACATATCAAAGTATTTGCTTCGTAATAACAAAAAGGGGGAAAGTTCTTTAACTTGGTTGTTACTGACCCTCTATTTAAAACTCAGAAATCAGTACCCTGTTTGGGGATTTTTCTCTGGTCTTTCCAACCTAGAGACATAAATCCATTAAGATACACTTGCGCCCTGTATCTAAGACCTTTTCTGTACACTGCTAAAATGTACCAGTGGAAACGTGAACTCCTATTCTGGTTCATCTGTCCGCACTTGCCACGTTACAATACTATCTAAATAGATTACTCAGGGACATAACACCTGAAGCCCGCATCTTGAAAGCCATAACTTGGAAACCCCAGAACAAATAACCTTCAGCATAATCTTCAACTTGAACTTTCATAAGGCTGCTTCACAACTTTGCATCATAACTATTTGAAAACCATGGAATTGCTACAATACGGAGTTTTTAAACATCAAGCCATGACAAGTTGTGTTGCCGTGGTTAGACTTGTCATTTAATTTGAAAAGACGCAGACGGTGTCATCTATGCTGATGCAGCAATAGGCTCGCTGTGGGATGGTTCAGTCCCTTCTTTGGCTTTTTTAGCCTTGTAGTCCTTCACAGCCGCTTTAATAGCATCCTCAGCAAGCATGCTGCAGTGCAACTTCACAGGTGGCAAAGACAAATGTTTGGCAATATCACTGCAAAAAAAAAATACCCACACCACATGCTTTAATCTTTCAAGCATAATGGAAAATAGGTCAACACCCATAAAGTACTCACACATAATGCCTTGTACACGACACATCTGCGGAGACGCGCTTTACATCTAAAATGTCACAGCGCGGCTTTGACCTCTTTCTCATAACAAATCCAATTGTGTCGATTTTGGGGCAGTGAAAAACAACTACTAAAATCTCCATACAAAGGAGACACTATTTAAAGTTACAACCAGAACAAAATAAGTTCTACAGAAGAGAAGTTGCTGACCTGTTTCTGATACTCACGGCTTCCTCCATAGGCTTCCCCTTGATCCACTCAGAAGCTACAACCACAAACGTTCATTAAAAAAAAAAATTAACAATCACGATATTGAGCAACAAATTTTCACTAAAAGGATGTTGCCCACAACACCAATCACCACAACCACTAGAATACGTAAAAATAAGGTCTCCTGTGACTATGTTACCACCAGGCGGAGAAAATTATCCTCCAACGCCCCAAAACGATCGGTAATAAACCTCCAATTAAGCAGATTCAGGACCTCACCGTGTGGGTACAACACACCTTAACAATCAGAAAATATGGCTTAATGAACATACCCACAGATGATGAAGCTATGGCAGAACCACAACCGAAGGTCTTAAAACAAGCGTCAACTATTTCCCCAGTCTTATCGTCCACCTTAATCTGCAGCTTCATAACATCTCCACATGCTGGGGCACCAACCAAGCCAGTCCCAACATTAGGATCGTTCTTGTCGAAAGATCCAACATTGCGAGGGTTGTCGTAATGATCTACAACCTGCAGTTTCAGTAATTCATGTGGCTTAAGGAAGACGAAGACAATTGTTCCTAATTGTGTCCATTTCCAAAAAAACAAATTCAACCTACACGAACTACCTTTTATTAGCACTGGAAAACAAGCGAGTTTTCATGCAAATCAAGACAATGATCACCAAAGCCAAAAATTGAACTAAAAGTTGGCCCAAAATCACCAAAAATTCGTAAAACAACTTCCAGAAATAAGTCCGATCCAACTCCATCAAAGCCAATACACACCTTCTCATGATAACTCCTCACTCCAGGCACAAGAGCTCCCCGAGCAGCGTGCGGGGCACCGGCGGAACCCGCCGCCCTGGCAATTCCCTTGGCGAAATGAGCCAACATGATTCCAAATCTGCCAAGCTCCTTTCAGTCAGCCACCGAATTTAAACAATTCAAACCAAAAAAAACACAAAAAATAAAATAAAATAAAATAAAAAATAAAAAATAAAACTCCTAACCATTCACAGAAACATCAACAAAAACATCCCAATACCTGTAGCAAACGGAGCTAAGATGACACAAGCGCGGCGACACACAAAACACGAAACAAAGATGCTGAAAGAGCACACACTAATGAGATAGTTCCACAAACTCAAAACCCCTCAAGACACCCACCAACTGATTACCCAGTCAGAGAGATAACGTAAAGCCTCAAAACTCTGCCAAGCTGATGATGATCGATGTGACCCAGCTGATGGATACGCAAATCAAAGCGATTGGAAAACCAAAATCTGAAGACGAAATGGGCGGAAACCTCGAAAAGGGGGACCGCCTTAAAGGAAGGAAGAAGGGTGAAGTATCTAGTATCACACGTGTTGAATTCCGTATTTTTTTCATCTCATATACGTATACTTCCGACCGGTGAGTTTTGGTGTGACAAGTTTTCTATGTTTCTGGGCAGCCACGTGTCATGCCACGTCGGCGAAATGAATCTCTGACCGTAATGGAGATTCTATCTGGACATGAAAATTAGAATTTGTAATTCTAATTCTAGGTGCTCATGAAATACTTCAATTTTTATTCTTCTTTTGCTTGACAACAATAAAATAATTAAAAAAACATTTTGATTTACAATTTTTTTTATTATTATTATTGTAAAAATAAGGGTTGTGATAAAAACAAAAAACGAATTGATGTCAGTATCATCTGTCTCGATTGTTGCGTCATGAAACAGAGACTTGACCCTTGAACATTAAAGGGAGGTGGTGAATATTCTATTGTTTTAAAAGATGCCTAATGATCCAATCAAGCATAGTTCACCACAAAGACTCATGCAATGAACTCTTGATTCTTCTTATTTGGACAATACACGTCTTCTTTGGGAATATTTTGGAGAAATCCATTTCAAGCATGCCATAAGATGGAAGAATAAAAGTTGCTGTAGTGCTCATGATTGATAACGTTCAAATGTGTAAATCGAATTTTGTTTGTCAGACTTAAGTCAAAATGGGTTTCACCAAAATAATGATTTTGCAACTAAAAAAAATGTGTAAATTTTTATAGAATATATTTTTAATTTCATAGTCTTTTCATGTTTTTGTTGCAACAAACACTTCTTTCTATTGAAGACAATAGTAGGGTTTTATCACAATTGGACACAATGTCTTTCAACGGGCTTTATTGAATTTTTGGTGAAAAAATTTGAACATGCTGGATTTAAGAAACATCATTCATTTTATTTTAATAAATTACCTTCAATTGCTCAGAATCAAATTATACAATTCTTTGCAATTACAGTTTGGCAAAACCTTCACAATCACCATTTTAAACATAATTGTTTTCCTGAAATCAATAAAGTTACATATGAAGTACAAACAATCTAATTTGAACATTCAGAAGTTTTAATTTTTTTAATTAAATGCATACATTGAGATGTAATAATAAGACTGTCTATATAATACGATTGTTTGCTAGTAAACAAATGGAGAGGTGGTGTGTTACCAACCATTGCAAGGTCATAATAAATAATAAATAACCATGGCATGACATCACATATATACCACATGTCCATCAATGTAATCGAGCTTCTAATGTGATGCAAATTCTAATGCAGTTTTATGAGTGCCAATATGAACAGGTGGTACGTGTGATTCAACTGAGGCTGGCAGGAACATAAAACTTGACTAGACTAAATGTAAAACTCCAGTCAATTCCAGAAAAAAAGCAGAAAACTTTCCTCTCAACCTACCACCACAATCGATTTGATCTCCAGGGAATAGATCTGTTCACCATTCTACGAGAGCACACCATTTAGAGAAGAATTACCAGACTTAATTCATCCTTGATTCTGCTCACAACCCACAAGCATTTCACACCACCAAGTACATCAAACTCAGGATCGACAACCATGGTCAATTAGACCTCAACCAGATGTGACCACTTAGTTTTTTTGATGTATACATCTGGTTGAGGTCTAATTGAAGACAATTTGACATTTGACATTTGAAAGACTTGGGCAACATCTTCATCATGTTTAATCACATACTTGGAAACTATCAAGTAAACTAGAAAATGGTAGGCATTGTCTGTCAACTTTTTTGTTCTGATGCTTGAAAACGATCGACCCACATACTCCACACAAAACGTGACACACCTAATCATGGGCAATCAACAAATAATATATGAAAATAATTACGTCTAAAATCTTACATATTAATTGTAGTAAAAGGAAGCTTGCCAAAAATTAGGCAACGATCATTATGATATTGAACAATCTAAACCGACAATTATCAGTATAAAAGGTATGGGACAAGTGAATCAATTGTTTTGTGAGATTTTCTATAAAAATCAAAGGAAACTTTATATCCTCTTCTGCTCATGCTCCTTAGTCTCCTTCCACCTTACTCCCGAACAAATTTTCTGATCTTGAAAGCTACTCAAGAAATCATCACAAGCATTTGGCCAAAGCTTTGCAGAAATTGGCCATACCTGCTGTACAAAATCTTTCAGGGACCTTGACACAATCTGAAAGATCACAAAGGCTAAGTCACTGCATGACAGTGGTCCCAAGGTTGATCCAGACCATTTGAGCGCTTGCTGCTCTCATGATCAACTTCCTCTAATCACTTCGTCTTTTTCGGCTTCGAACCACTACACACACAAATTCAACAAGAGCACGCCGCTTCAATTTTTACACAATAAAAATATCTCGTTCCCAGTTAATAAGCAGAAATTTGAAAAAAATGCAATTTCGAATTCGGACCATTTGTTTGTCCAGACCAAGGTCCTAACAGAAAAATAGGAAAAAGTTATCAACCTTTTGACACTTAATTCATCTTCAATATCTGGAAGAGGCATTTTCCAGTAATTCCAAGAATTAAAATCCTCCTGCCATTCCAAATATTTCGTTATGATGGAATAAAACAAATTAGGTGCAGAGATGAAAAACAAGCTGCAATTTTTTTCAACTGTAAAGCAATAACCTCACTCAATCTTCGTCCAAACTACCACATGAACACCCCTAAAGGAAAACGACAGTATTCGACAACAAAACATGGCACCCAGGAAAAAACAGAAGAGTTGAGGAAAAAACCTGCTCTGTGTAAGTCTGAGGTGGGAACATGTCATCGACTAGTTTGTGCAGAGAAGTATATGATTTTACGTCCACTCTATTGTTTACAGCCACTTCTCCCTGAACAATACAACTTTAAAGTTATGACAAGTTACACATAAAAATTCTAGAAGTGAAACAGATGAACCTACCAGAAGAATTGGACAACAAAAACTACATTCATGCGCACCTGAAACTAGAAATCCAGAAATCCCTTAACAGCAGCAGAGGAAAATATACTATATATGATAACTCCTACAATGAGACCTCATGAAAAAAAAAAGGAAATTTTCAAAATAAAGATATATAATTTCCACATAGATATCTATACGCCTCACCCGAAACATGGCACAACACCAAGAATGTCGAGAACTTTCAAGAATAAAATAAGATAAGCACATAACCCCTTATATACGATCTATTCGGAATATAAACCACCTACATTCAACTAATTGAGGACAGATGGCAAGAAATACCTTGGGATTGATAATAAAAACTTTGCCTTTGGGAATACCGACTTTAAGATAACTGATTTCATCAGTCTCACGATTCCCAAATCCAGCGTAGAAGGGATTACAGTCTTTAGGAAAGAGATCCCGTATATCCTGCATGCATGTACATATCGAGAGAAAGATAGTCCACAAGTAAGAATATAAATAAAAGTATCTTCCAGGTCTCTCAGAAAGATGACTAAATATTTAGAATACTACGGATATATGGCAGGTATTTCGTTGTTTAGAAGATATACCTGAAGACAAGCAATCTTAAATTCGTGAGGGGCCCTTCGTATAACTGCAAAACCACTCACACACTAATCAATCCAAGCTCTGAGCATTCAATCAAATAAAAGAGTAGATAAGTTCTGCAAGGATGTCAAAAGAATGATCATGCAATCTTAAGTAAGTAACCGATACAAACCCAACAGCATTTCAAAATAGGGCACATAATCACCTTCGCGATAGAGGGAGGGAAAGAGTCCATCAGGAGAAATGACAACTGGTCCATCTGGTAGTGCTTCACCGTCCTGCAATGATAGAATTTGTGATGGAAAAACTTTACTCTTGACATCTTTCCGGCAAGAAGGTATTAACATGTTTCGCCATATACTAAAACAAGAAAGTTCTTATCAGTTTAAAATTAGGCTAACTTGAATGTTTTCATTTAATAATAAAGATTCAGTAATGAACTCACGAACCTGTTTGAGGTTTAACAGAAACTGACGGGTCAAGTAAGCCTGAGAAATTGCTCGTGCGCTCAAAAACATCACTTCGTAGCCATTTTCCTAATGACAACCACCACACGGTTGGCTTTAGTACCTGCCTTATCGTTCAGGAAACAAAAGCCAGAAAGCTGAACCTATTACTTAAACCAACGCAGAGGTTAGAATTTTTGAAGTAGGAAAGACGAATCTGCAGGCAAGGCTAAGTTCTGGTGATAGTACGCAGACTTAATGATACACTTTAAGATGCAAAACACGACTTAGTGATGAGAAAGCACCTTAATAGCAGAAAAAAGGCGGGTTACTCCTGATTGCGTCCAGTCCCTTCCTACTAAAGGCATCACCTGTCCCAGAACATCTGACCTAAAACACAACCACAAATTTATATTTCCCAGCTTCCATTGAAAAAATAACGGGCGAAACGAGGACCAAATTAAGCAATCTAAGAATAAATGACAAATTTGTTAGATCTCCATTGCGCATGATTTCGCCGACTTGCCAGCATGCTTCTGTTGCATCAAGACATGGTAACAGTTCTGAGCGATTTCAAGACAACCTACAAACCACAAATATAGATCTCTTCAACAATAGACCAACACTCTAGTCAAGAAGCATGTTTAACTCTACACACGGACACGTACTCGTGTAAGTTTGTAACGATAGAGATTATGAAAGCCATTATCGAGATATAAACGTACTTCGTGATTGTGCCATCCACATCGGAAATAACAACACGTGTATTCCACTTCCACAAATAAATACGAGCATCAACCTGTACAACATTAAACAACGCCAAAATTTCCAGTTCAGTCACGTCTATCACGCACTGTCGGATAATACAATACCTCAAGAGAGCGTCAAAACAGAGACATAAATAACAGACTGACCGTATCCAAAACCCAACCTTTGAGGACTATGACGGAGAAGAATTTCAAGATGATAAGTACCATGGTTGTGCCTTTCATCGGCCTAGATACCCGCTCAATGTCAACCCTTGTGAAAGTCTTAGCAATTAATTTTGCTACAGCAACCGTTATATGCTAATTAAGGGTGACGATACTTTTCACTGAACACAATGAAATGAATGCGCCAAACCTGCTGTGAGCCGAGCACTCTTGTCAAGAAAGTGAACGTGATGCGGTTACTCCCTTCCTTGAGATTCATTTCAGCAAGCATTTGTGAAGTTGGCAGAAAAGAGCGCACTTTATTCTTCCTTGAGCGATAGTAGTCTTTATCTGGGATCAGGTTATTCACAATCGCAGTGTTCACTGCAGCATTCTGAGCTACCAGCAATGCTTGCGAAGAAATTATTGGCCTGGATCCGTTCGTTTCAGGTGTTCTAGGACGTCGCAATGGAAACGGCCAGAGTTTCCATCCACTACCTGCTGTAGAAATCAATGCATTTACCTCCTTTTTAACCGGAGAAGGATCAGTTTTTTCTACTTGATTATCGCCTTGTGCCTCATCTGAGACAACATTATCGAAGGACAGCATGCCCAAGACCAAGGGTTTCTCAAATCCATCTGCTTCGTACATAATAGGCTGTTGTTGAATTTGATCATCTTGTGAAGGCAATGGTGGTGGACTGCCGCGTCTAGGAGTGTGAAGAACAACAACTCCATCTGCACTAGCGATCGTAAGAGTTGAAAGCTCGGGGGAGTTGTCCTCAATGTTATTAGGACCCAGTCCAGATTCACCTTTCATTCTTCTGCCATCAGTATTGAGAAGCCTCAAATCTGATTCGCTTTTTACTCGTCTGACACGTACCGGTTCATCGGCACTCGATCTTGAACCCATATTCAAAGACTTCGATTTTCTCATGCGAAAGCCTTCAGCAACAACCTCCCCCCTATTATTAAAAACCTCGAACGAATCCCTGGCTCCAGTTCCAAGGCTATTGGATAAACCTTCACCACCTGACTCCCAGGCAGCCTTAGCGACTGAAGCAAGAGCAGCCTGCGCAACAAGTGAAGTAGAAGGACGCCCTGCTTGCTGCGAAACCTCAAGCCCCACGGCCTGCTTCAGAAATGCATTAACAACAGATCCACCTGTTGCATTTTCTAATTCTTCAATAGAAGTTTCAAAATTGCTTCTCAACTTCAAAGTTGCTAATGAGGAGAGTAAAACATCCGAAGGCTCCCCTATTGTTCTGGATTCCTCCTTAAATGCGTTACTGTCCAGCGTTTCAGTATCAACTATAAAGTCTACACTATCTTCCTTCAGTGAAATACTCTCAGAAAACTCAGCATCCCCTAAAGCTTCTGTATCCTTCTTCAATGTACTAATCTCCAGATATTCGATGGCCCCTGCGACGTCTAAATCGTGCGTTAGTGTACTACTCTCGGGAATCTCATCTTTCCCTGTAATATGCGCGTCTCCCTCCGATGTACTTTTCTCCAAAAGCTCATTTTTCCTAGTAATGTCTGTGTCCTCCTTGAATGAACTGCTCTCCGAAGGTTCCGTGAATTGTTTGGCTTCTTCCGCAGCTCGAGACTGCCAATATAGCATAACAAAGAGGCGTTACAAACGAAATCATGACGTCTTGTAAAGTACACAGTGAAATACAAGTTTCTTTTCTTTGAAAAAGTCGCATAGAGGCACAATGAACCAGAATTTGGGATTATCAAAATCTCTCGACCAAACGATAAAAAGGAGCCGGCGCCATTTTTAAGCGAGCTCTTCTATCTAATGACATTCCTCGAGCACAGAGCTAGCCTGCACACTCCCATAATCTAACACACAAAACCAATATCCTGATATGTTGTAGCATGCGGGCATGTCGAGTAGAAAAAACGAAGAGACGAAACTAAAGGGCACCCGGTTAATTCTGCTATATATTTGTGTTCCACGAACTCTACAGATTCAGATGATGAATCGTCTAATCAGCTAGTTCCGTGTTCAAGAAACGTACACATGCTAAAGATAATGTCCTCATTCCAACCTGCAAGAAGTGGGACTTGTTTCTCAGTCCTTTCATTCATTACGTTGATCCTGCAGTAAATTATCTTCACTTCAATATGAAGGTCTTCACAAAATGGTTGCTTCTCTGTTACTACTCACAGACATATCAACAGCATTTAGGTCATGTATACTTGTTGAGCTGAAGCCTACAACAATCCGTGCCAAATTTATTGAAGACTGTTAAGACAATGACCTCGAGGATTGCTACAACCACTCTCAGCAAAGCCCAATTTTCTCACTGACAGCAGGTGAGCAACCACACACCTGCTGCACAAGTAGATAAGATGCTTTTCTCCCTTCAAACCTCAGCTCCAGATTGCTGTCCTTCTCGTCGCTGCTCTCGGCTTCTTCCGCTTCTTCCTTCGCATCCGCAAATTCTTCTTTACTTTCCGACCCATCCTCCAACTTGCTGGGGGCGTCTTCAATTGCCAGCACTTCATCACCGGCAGTAATTGCGAGTTGCGACGGCGAGGGCTCCTTCTCTGGCTCCGCATCTTTCAAAAAATAAGCTTCCCCTATTCAATGATCACAAAGTCAATTAATCCACGTTGTCAAGCAATCAAAACGCAATCAATTGCAGTGCACGCCGAAGCTGCAAGACCCAATCAGAGGGAATAGAGAATCTACCTGTGGAGTCCAAATACATATGAAATTTGACATTTACATCGTTTACGGCGATATTCACAACTTTCTCGCTCCGCTTCAGAACGCCCTGAAATTTCCCAAACTTGACGTACCAGGGAGAACTCTTATACGAGCCATCCTGCTGCTGTACAACTATAATATCAACAGCGCCTCCGAAGGGGTGGAATGGGCCCGCAACGGTGTACACTCCCTGCGAGATGAGCCTGCCCACTGTATTATACATATTGGACCTTCTCGCCAAAGATAACCTAAACATCCCACCACAATCCCCCCCCTCGACTTCTTCCCATCATTAGCTCCTATCTTGTGGTACACTCCTTTTCCAGGTTATCCTCGTGATTCCCGTCCTGAGTACAACGAAAATATAAATCTATCCCAATGTGATTGTTCGACTTGAATGAATCTTCTAGACCTCCCAGAACACAGACACCTTCACTTTACACACCCTCCACAATACCCAATCGCAAGAATAAGTCGCAACATAATCTAACGTAGCGGAAACCTACGTTAATACAACGTCCCACACTGCTCCTGGAAACTAAACTCAGAATCCTTGGTCATGATCTAACGTCCCCGACTTCCCCAAAACCTAACTATTCAACAACACATTATTGCCCAAAACATCCAAACTAGCAGACAACGAAATATTGCATCGCAGGGATCACGCCAAGCGTGAACCATCTCCCTCAAAGTCCCGGCGAAAACAATCCACCGTTATGGCAACAGAAACAATCCCTGAGAACCGTGCGCAGCAAAGCGCATCCGTGGGAGCGAAATTGAGAATTAATCGGCCTGCCGTTGCCAAAGATCCGATGTACACTACAATTAGGAGTGCCCGACACCAACCATTTACAATACGTCTGATGAAGGCCTACGATGCCCTAAGTCAGTGTTTTCGCCGGAAGAGCCTGATTGGTATTGACACCCGAATGAATGCTTCCGCATCTGTCCGGGTATCTCCGTCACAGCTTCCGATGCAACCCCGGGTATTTGTAATCCTGGCATTCGCTCAAGCCTTTTGGGTGAACATTTCTTTTCCAACCATACTTGACTTGTGAAGAATCAAGCTCCCAGGATTCCTGCCTGCGTGAATTGGTCGCAGCTTTAGAAACGACGCTCAAGCACATTTTCGCAGCGCTCCGGAGTTACAACCAGGTTTTGCCTTGCACAGCTGGCGGTAAGGTTTCATTGGCCGCTTAAGGTCATTTCTACAATTGGTTAGTCACGTCTTACTTAATGGGTGCCGACAAAATTGAGCAGTCAGTGCCGATTTTTGAGGTCTGATTGCATCAACCGTGTCCTGAATATGATTACTCTAACATTTTTTAGGTCGAATTTTTTTCTGTCGATGTTCAAGGAATTTTTGTTCAATTGCGTCTTCAGGAAACTGGAGACAACTGTTTGCTACACAGCCATTTGTCTTGTGTGGAGTGAGAGTTTTGGCGGAGTAGGCAAAAGGTTATCGACGTTGAAGGTTCTTGAAAAGGATTTCGATGCGAATCACTCTGATAATCTCTCCAGAGCGTTTATTTTCCGCTTTTGAATTGTGAATTGGGTTAAGTTGTGCATTGAGAGGTAGCTCTCTTTTGTGCAACATTCCATGTAAGACTTGCGGATGGTGCTGTAATTATTAATAGTGGACACACTTGGGCTCTGGTGTAGCACCTATACTATCCACCTGTCTTCTTCGTGTGCTTCGTAATCGATTGCTTTATATCATTTACTAGTCTCTCTTCTAATTACCAACCCTTCAATTATTGTATTGGCATATATTTGTGAGTCTGGGATGTTCCATTTTCATTCAGATACAATGTCGTGTGGTTGGTGATGCAAGTCAGTTGTGGGCAAGCAAGCTGCGAGGGTTAAAATTTTCTGGCCTTTGTTGTTCAGGTGATGAATTTATGCTATAAACTGTGAAGAGGACAAATAGCGCTCAGTGTTTCCAAAAAGTGAGCTCAGAAGCAGGGGAACATTACTCTTTTCAACTTTGGCAAATAGGTCGGAAGAAATGGACGCAGTTGAAGTACGGAACGCTGAGACCTTCTTCGCATCGGCGCCCCCTCTGAGGGATCGAGATGCTATTGTTGCTAAAGTGGAAGAATTCGTCCAGCGCAGATTGCCAACCGGTTTTCCACCATCTTCCCTTGTTTACTCTCAAGTTGAAGTGGTTTTTTGCGCTGTCTGTTGTCAGTAGCAAAATTATGTTAATTTTGGCCACGACATATTGCATTGAATGTAAAGACGGGGCTAAACGGTAACGCCTCCATCTTTCTGCAATCTCCAATTACACTCGCTGTAGAAAATATTCATATTTCTATGAAGTTTCAAACTCATGTATCAGTTGTGATTCCGACAGCTTATGAAATTTTTAGTGTTTCTTTTGTGGTAACTGTTTTCAATCCGGACTTTGTAGCAAGTGGCAATCGAGCTTCGAGGATGGTTTGTATAACATCAGGCGGGACCACAGTTCCTCTTGAGAGGAAGTGTGTTCGTTTCATCGACAATTTCAGCTCTGGACATCGTGGGGCTGCCTCGACAGAGTAAGTCTCTTGAATTTTCCGTTCGTGATGCATCTAGTTGCTCGGGTTCCTCGCAATATCAGTGCATAGCGTGCATTTCAGCCACTATGTAATATAGTGTTCATTTTCTCAGATGTAGATCATATGGTTTGTTCATTTTTGGCTTTGATTGGGTTAGTAGTCATTAAAACAGATGTGGTTTTGTGTGTGTAACATGCATTTGGCGAAAGTGCGAAGGGTTTTTTGTTTCATCTTTAGCACGTTACATTCCTTGCATGCGGGGTATAGTTCAGGACTAGTGCTGGTTATCTGACGTGCTTGATGCAGATGTTTTATGAAGGCTGGCTATTCCGTGATATTCATTAATCGAAGGTGAGCCATTTTTTTAATGACGATGTGAGCAGGTAGTTTTCAGTCGCATCTGTTTGTTCTGTGTAAATTTGCATCTTCAGTTTAGCAATATCTCTACCTCTGGTCTTCCACACTGTAGTACCCTGTTTTTTGGATCTATCGACATCTGCCATAGAGTTCGATAGATACTCTCATTGGATAGCTCATTTTCAATTTACGGTTAAGAAAGAAACAGACGTCCCATCTTCCCGAGTGTGATTGTTTAAAATAAGTGATGTGAGGGATCTGCTGTGACATCTTGGTTGAATTATTCACTTCTTCAGAGGAACAGCACAGCCTTTTTGCCGGTTTTTGCCTGAGGATCCGCTTCTGACATGTTTTGAACCGGCTGGCGACAACCTCATACAACGTAAGCAGGCACTGTCTGTGTTTGATTATGTTCGCAAAAATTGAGACAATTTACTCCTCCTTAAGTTTGACCATGTTTAAGTTTTTGATCTGAAAACTGCTGTTCACATGTATATTATTTAGCTCAAATGAGGTGTTATAAAACTAGTATATCCCTACTATAGGGTTCAGCATTACACAAACATGTGTTTGTTTGACATCAATCCACTATGTCTAGAATTTGTATAAAACCCATCAACCTTTGATAATATTTTTATCAAACTGTTTGCAGTCATTCCAAGTCATGCAGTCGCAGTGCAAAAAGCTGTAACAGAGTATCACTCGGTTAGTTTTACTCAATTTCTGGAGAGATATAGATGGCAAGTGATGTTATAGTGCTGATATACTTGTTTGTGATGTTGAGATTGGACAGAATTGATGTCAATTATTGCGGGATAGTTGATCATAATTTCGTCTTGCTTGGAAAAGTTTTTTTACGATTATTCATTTACCGCACTTATGCGCAAACCTGCAGGCTTTAAACAGCGGACATCTTCTGAATTTGCCATACACAACACTCTTTGAATATCTGGAGGTAAAGATCCTGTCAAGGTTAATGATCATTGAGCTGGATTTTCATTTGAATTCATAATTATTGGCGTTCACTTCACTTGCTTAAACAGGTAATCAAATTGTATGGCTTGTAGCAAGATTAGAAGAGTTGATTACTTCACTGACAAAGCTTTCTACAAATTTTGTCTTGTAATGTCCCGTGAAAATCGTATGTAACCAGTGCTGAATGCAGATACTTAAAATTGTCTCTCTTAGCCTGAGGCAGCTGCAGCGGAATTGTATGTTCTATCTTGCTGCTGCAGTATCTGATTTTTACGTGCCTTGGCAATCAATGGTAAGATTAACCCACTTATATTTTTACCTTAATCAACAAGGTCAAGGATCCTTCTAGTGTTGCCTGAGCTTTAGACTCTTTATCCCCTTCCTCTGTAAACATTGTAACTGTTTCTTGAAGCGCATCAGGGGTTAAGGCCCGTGGTTTTTCGGTGCACATTGCATCTAAGTGACTTTATTTTTTTGATTTAGGTGGAGCATAAAATTCAGTCTGGTGTAGGGCCCATGGCGATGGAGCTGGCACAAGTTCCAAAGATGTTAATGCTGCTTCGTCACCTTTGGGCTCCCGAAGCATTCTGTGTCTCTTTCAAGGTTATGTTGCCTTGAATAAACCCAAATATCTTCAAGGGGGGAGAAAGTACAACTGTGCAGAACTTCGTTTTTTCAAAGTTGGTTGCTGGGGAACGAAATTTGCTCTTTCAATCCTTTGCGTGATCTCAGTCCGTTGTCTTCATGTGAATATTGGAGGTTGATTTGATCTTCTGCAATGCAATGGTTGTATGTGAATGGGACTTGGAAACTTCCAGCCCAGTCGAAAGATTTGTGGAAGTATGTTTATTTCTCATATGGTTAATGGGATGAATACAGTTGGAAACCGACGTAAAGATATTGATCAAGAAGGCCCAGGCAGCACGGGAGAAGTATGGGATGCATGCAGTTGTGGCAAATGAATTGGAGACGAGGAAACAGAAGGTTATTGTAGTGACAAATGAGGGGCAGGTATTGGTTGAGAAGGATGCCTCTCAAGCAGATGTAGAGATACCTCTGGTTGATTTTTTGATCGCACAACAAACCTCCTACATCGAAGCAGGTGGAGCGAATGTATTAGTAGTTTGAAGAATGTCGGAACCTCTTTTCTTTTGAGGTTTTGATGATGCAACATAATTATCATTTGCTCAAGATGCAGTAATACATGTTCGATCCAGACTGAGCTCCAACCTCATGTTACAAAATATTTCATTTCTACGATGTGTATATGAAATTCATCTCTTTGACCGTTCTCTTGTGAAATCGCTATTTCAAGTTGGAGTGAAGCATCTGTTCATGACAAGGTCCTTTAGAATAAAGCATTGCAAGATGGTGATCATATGCTGATATGTTTGTCAGATAATTAAGGTGTTGAATTCTAAGCAGGTAACCCAAGCAATTAGATATTTATCTGTCTTCATCAAAATGCTGTTGAACAACAGTATTGCAGTCAGGTAGTGGAATTTTCTCGACTAATTATTCTTCTTTTTATAATGATTTGTTTTGTCTTTTGAAAGATTCTTCAAGATAGATTTCTTCAACACAACTTTTAGTATTGAACTCACACTAATAGTTTTAAAACAATGTAGAGTTGTCTGTTAATATAGAATACGAATCCAACCATAATAGTAGCGGAAGTACTTTATAAAATTTGTTTGACTAGAACATATTCTGTTTTTCTCTTATGTTTGTTATTTTTAGAAATGAAAAAAATATAATTATAATTTAAAATAATCTCTTTCATATTAAAAACCAATAAAACTTTAAAAAAATTAAATGTTGATTTCTTAAGTTTAACAAAATTGGTCTACAAACAGCAAGATTATACTCAATTTTTTTAAATAAATAAAATTATTACATATATATTTTAAAGCTAAAAGAATTTTACTAAAGAACTTCGGTATAAAAATAAGGTTTACAGAAGCATATACATATATATATATATATATATATAGGTATATGCTTCTGTATATATATGAAAAACATGAATTTGAGAAAATAAAAGTTTATTAAATTTTATTGGTACAATATTCAAGATTAACTAGATAGTTATGTAAAATTATATGGAGGTTGAAATAAAATTTCATGCAACCAAAAAATGTATTACGACAAAGATAGAAGTTTACAAATTTATAAATGAAAATAAGACACTATATGCTATAAAAAAATAAAAATAAAAAATAAAAAATAAATCTTAATAATATTTTTATGTGTCATTCAATCTTTGAATAAACGTTATTGAGTATAAATTATTTTTTGTAATAACATGTATCTTCATAATGCTATAACTATTTTAATAAAAAACATTACACGAAATTTGAAGAATCTAATAAAAAATCTCAAACTCAAAAAAAACATATAAAACATTTTTTAGAAATCAGAGGATCTTTATAAAATCTCAATAATTTCTAAATTTGTTTTGAAGGATCCAAAAAAAAACTTACAAAAATAATTCTAGAATATATATATATACATATATATACACACATATATATTAGTCTTGCTTCGTATCATAAAATCAATTTTACATAATTTTTACTTTTGTGCATCAAATATTTAAGGCCATTTTTTATTTTCATTATAAACATTTAGAATAAGAAAGTAGAGTTTTAAAAAATAAAATACTAAATAAGTATGATTTTTAGATGTATTAAAATATGTAAATATTAATATTTTTTTCATTGTATTAATAAAAAATCAAACAATATCAAAAATTAAAATTTCATTCAATTATAATAAATTTATTGTAAATCATATTATTTAAAATTTTATATAATTTATTTTTAAAAAGTGATATATTGAAAATAAAGTTAAAAAGATAAAATAGACTTAATAAAATCTATTATAGTAAAAGTGTTAAAAAAGCAGCACAAGCACAATGCACATAATTTAAGTCTTAACATTAAGCTAATATATACTTTTGAAATTTTAATATAATTTTTTAAATTAGATTTTTGTTTTAGTTTTCTATAATCTAAATATTATTGAATATTGTGCAAGTCTTAGTTTATAGTTTATGATTCTTTATATCTTAACAACCTCTTTAGTCTTAATTAAAATAAAATAAAAAATACTAATAATTTTAATTTCTACTATACTCACAATACTAACTAATATCTTTTCTTAGTTTATTTTTTTCTATTCAAACAATTCTACTAATAAAAGATATTATGTAACTATTTGTAAAGAAATCAAATATTGAATTTAATTTTTAAGAAATATGACTTGCAAGTAATTTTTATGAGAATAAAATTGATAAATAGAGCTTTATTTTTAAAAAATAATAATAAATACATTTGTAAGCATGTCTATTATGATTTTATGTTTTATACAAAATTGGTTTGTAATCTTTTTTCATAAATATTTCATTTTTGTAAGAAAACCTAATTTTTAATCAAATCATATCAGATTCAAATATGAACATATTTCTTTCAAATTTGTAGTAAATTTTAAGCTAATATTTATTATTTGAAATTGAGATGTAGTTGTCTCTTTCATAATTGATCTTTCAAAAACTAATAACTTCTAATAATAAATGAAAATTTTAGAAACCAACTCTAGATATTTAGGTTCTAGGTATCTAGTGTAGTTTATTGTGCTAATAATTAATATCTTCTGATAATTAGTATTTTTTGCAACAAATAATATTAAATAATAGAGAAAAATCTATAAATATGTAATAAATTCATAAATAGTATCTTAAAATAGAAAAATAATTGAATCAAAGAGTATTTAAATTGAATAGCTTTAACTTGTAACAATAAAATCATATCTTTAGAATAATTGCTTTAAAAGTATTTAATAAAAAATACAGAAAATTAATCTAAAGTGAAAATGAAAATACATATCTATGTTTAAATGTGATACTAAGAAGCCGGTTTATACTTTTATTATTGAATCTCTCAAAAATACCGTTATAAATAAGAACTCTAGAATTTAATTTTCTAATAGAAAATAGAAATAAAAATACCTTGATGAGACAAACATCATGGGTATTATTATCAGACATATACCTACGAAAAATGATAGCAACCACATGGGCGCAGCATTAATACAACCGATGCAATAAAGTATACTCTTGAAATTATTATGAGAATTCAAGTGAATTACAATGGTATCAAATTAAATATTGACACAAAATTGGACGGTAAGTGGAAAAACACGACAAAAAATAAATAAATAAAACTAAAAAATTCGATAAGCAAAGGGAGAAGCATCTTACACATGAGGCACTCTCTCATTCCACCCTCACGGAATTTCAACAGGCATAAAGACTGTGAACTTTGATTCAACGGTAGTCAGATCTTACAGACGCTGTCATCAAAGAGGCTTGACTATCTCATGACCTTTAAGTGCACTTTCAACCTCAAACTCTGCTAAAATCTTCTCATAACCTGACGATTTCCAAAACAGAACAAACGACACCGAACAGTGACGCAACTTTGATAATATATGACCAGACCCAGTTGAAAACAAGCTTCATAGTAATATTTGTATTTGACTAGTACCATAACAGTCAACTTCCTATACTCCGAATAATATTTGCAGTTCAACAAGGCTACAGAAGGAGATCGAATACAAGTTCAACCCTGCCGGATTGGATAAACAACAGTTAGCTATCCCGTGCGGAAATCTATTAATCAGAAACTCATCGTCGTTGAAATCTGCTGGAATGCGAAGTGGTAATGTTCAAAGGTGATTAGAATAATGCGATCATGGATAAGATGGCGGATCAAACCACCAAATTCGGATGAGAGGAATGTTGATCATCACGGTCAATGTGACTTGCAGATCGACTCATGAGCACCCGACCCAGAATTGCGTGACTTGGTGCAAAATCGATGCATAAATGGGTGCAGATTTAAAAATCACTACTAGAAACGTTCGTCATACATACGTAGCGAGTTCCAGAAAACCAGAGCAAGAGGCACTAGATTCGACTGAACCACTGGGAACCGCATTCTGCTGCATTTTAGAGAATGCAATAGCGCTGACACAACAGGTATTTGAGTTTAGAACTTTTAAAAGAAATGGCTCCTGCAGGGGAGGTGGAGGCTGAGGTTCGTGCCACAAGGGCCGTGCTTCCCAGGGGTCAGCCCCGCGCAGAGGGCCCGGCGTGTGTGTTGGGAATCGGCACTGCCGTTCCCCCGACCGAGTTCCTGCAGAGCGATTACCCAGACTTCTTCTTCAACATCACCAACACCAGCGACCAGGAGGCCCTCAAGGCGAAATTCAAGCGCATCTGCGACAAGTCCGGCATCCGCAAGCGCCACATGTTCCTCACCGAGGAGGTGCTCAAGGCCAACCCCGGCATCTGCACTTACATGGAACCCTCGCTGAACGTCCGCCACGACATCGTGGTGGTGCAGGTGCCCAAGCTCGCCGCCGAGGCCGCACAGAAAGCCATCAAGGAGTGGGGTGGCCGCAAGTCCGACATCACCCACATCGTGTTCGCCACCACCAGCGGCGTCAACATGCCTGGAGCTGATCACGCACTGGCCAAGCTGCTAGGGCTGAAGCCCACTGTGAAGCGGGTGATGATGTATCAGACCGGGTGCTTCGGGGGGGCGTCGGTGCTCAGGGTGGCCAAGGACCTGGCAGAGAACAACAAGGGCGCCAGGGTGTTGGCGGTGTGCAGCGAAGTCACTGCCGTGACGTACCGCGCCCCAAGCGAGAACCACTTAGACGGGCTTGTGGGCTCAGCTCTATTTGGCGACGGTGCGGGCGTGTACGTTGTGGGATCCGACCCCAAGCCACAGGCAGAGAAAGCATTGTTTGAGGTGCACTGGGCAGGAGAGTCCATCCTGCCAGAGAGCGATGGCGCCATTGATGGGCACCTCACGGAAGCAGGGCTCATCTTCCACCTCATGAAGGACGTGCCCGGGCTGATTTCCAAGAACATCGAGAAGTTTTTGAATGAGGCCAGGAAGTGCGTGGGCTCGCCACAGTGGAACGACATGTTCTGGGCGGTGCACCCGGGAGGCCCGGCCATTCTGGATCAAGTGGAGGCGAAGTTGAAGCTGAGCAAGGACAAGATGCAGGGCAGCCGGGACGTATTGTCGGAGTTCGGCAACATGTCCAGCTCATCGGTGCTATTTGTGTTGGACCAGATTCGCCACAGGTCGCTGGAGATGAGGTCATCGACGTTGGGAGAGGGAAGTGAGTTCGGGTTCTTCATCGGGTTCGGCCCTGGGCTGACGCTGGAGGTGTTGGTGCTTCGCGCCGCCGTCAATGTCTGAACTCACGCACGATTCCGACTGGTATCATACAACACCATTGAATATCTCAGGCCATTGCCCACCACTGCCATCATGGCCAACGTCTACACATCATTAGTAGACCTTCTGATACACTTAGGAAACTAATCTTATTAAGTGATATGGACATGAGTAAATGTTGGTTGATTTACCAGAAATCTTCAGTTTCTTTATCGGACAGTCCAACTTAATTTAAGCATTAAGCGACTTTCTTTTTTAAGTTAAATTGCTGACATATACATTAAGACCTACAAAATTGCACTTATATCAAGGTATTTCTATCGCATTTTGATAATCTATGACCAAATAAAAGTTAGTCTTATATTAGGCCTACTTTAATGAAACTTGTTCTCATTTGATATTATGAATAACACCATGTAAATGAAACACAAGTTGCTTCCTAAGAACTTAAAGAAAATCAACTGAAGGACTTGTAATGAGGTATTCTTCTAGATTTGATTTAAAACAACCACAGAAGAATGATGCCCAGAATATCAAAAAAGCTGTGGCTGGGTACAATGATGAACATATGCTGTAGTACAAGACCATACATGAATATCGAAACATGTTCTGTAAACAATCTTCTGATATATATATATATATATATATATATTTTTTAAACTATACCAAATACTAAAACACTGAAAACTACTTACTCCAACCATTAGTTGCAATTCTTTTGTAACAAATACTTAAGTAGTACTGCGTGACATATTACATATTTATGCAAATTTCAAAGACAAATAAAACTAACCAGCTTCTCTATAAAAATCCCAACCAAAATGAACAATTATTACACAAAACACCAAATCATAGCCTACTCAAGGTATGTTAGCATAGAAAAACATGATTTCAACTTGTTCTAAATAAGAATATAAACACACTCTACATTGGATGATATCAATATTAGTAAAAGACCCATTAAACCAAAGCTCATGAATAACAAGAATCTCAAAATCAAGCTATGCAAAGTGAATGATTCTAAAATTTGCATAACTTGCATTCTTGCAAACAATATGGCACTACCATCTTTCTTCTTATAAAAAGTAGGTCTAATCTATCCATATTAACTTCCATGTGGTATAATTCTATCATGCTTAAAAGATGATGAGAAATCAAAACAAATTTACTTTTCTTTCTACTTCTCAAGGACAAGAATTCAATAAAGGCAAATAAACATATTGAAGAACAAGTACTTTGAAGTCACAACACTTAGCATCAACAAGGTTGCATACAAAAGGGAGTATGGAGTAAGATAGCTCTTACTTCCAACACTTATTACTTATAGGTCATGGTTGCCAACTAACAAGGCAACTTCCATCGACGTTACATCTATTTCTACCTCATCCAACTAAATCCTAGGTTCTTTCTTAACCTAGCCGCCACCTACAAATCCTACAAGCCACCATAGTAACTTCTTTATATTCTTTGTTGCCTTTTAACCCCTAACAACTTACCTAAGGTAATACCTTTTACTAAGTGACTTACTTCAACACTCCCACTTTGCTATTGGACAAAGGGCTTTCGATTCTAAAGCCTCTGTCAATATAAGATATCTATCCTTTACTAATGCCTTTATCAATAAATCAGCAAGCATGTCTTCTATTGCACAATACTTCATATCAATCACTCCCATTTCAATCTTCTCTCTTATGAAGTGATGTTGAATGTAAATATCTTTTGTCCTTGAATGATGCTTGGAATTCTTTGCAAATGCAAGACATCCTTGATTGTCACACTCCATTGGAGTTGCTTCCATTTGCACATCTCCAATGTCCTCCAAAAGTTGTCTTAGCCATATTGCTTCTATTGCACCATGGCTTGTTGCCATGTACTATGCCTCCATTATTGACCTTGCAATTGTTGGTTGACTCTTGCAATTCCATGATATAGCTCCCATTCCAACAAAGAACACACATTCGATTGTTGATCTTCTATCATTTGCATCTCTAGTCCAATCCACATCACAATAACCATGTAAAGTAATGTTATGAGATCTAAGACACAATTTGAAGTTCAAAGTACCTTTTAAGTGCGTCATGATCCTTTTGATGGTTGTCCAATAGATTGGTCCAACCTTTGACATGTGTTGGCTCATAACACTCACCACATATGCAAGATCCACCCTTGTATCAACCATTGCATACATTAGTGAGCCCACTACTACCTTGTATGGAATTCCTTGCATTTGACCTTTAATTTTAGCAAATTCTTCATCTATGAGCTTTATCAACTTCAAATTAGCCTCCAAAGATGTTTTAATAGGCTTACATTTTTCCATGTTGAATCATTTCAACACCTCTTCAATATACTTGCTTTAGCTCATTGTAATGGTCTTCTTAGCACAATCTCTTATAAACTCCACTCCTAAACAATAGTGAAGCTCTCCCAAATTAATCATCTCATACTCTCTTTCTAACTTTTTCTTCAACCAATCCATCATCTTCATAGTATTGATTAAGATAATTACTTCATCAACATATAAGATGACAATCAATATGAACTCATTTGATTGCATCACATATAATGAATGATCAACCTCACTCCTTAGAAATCCTTCAGTCACAAAGAAAGTATCAATGTGTTGGTACCATGCCCTTCAAGATTACTTTAGTCCATACAAAGGTTTTTTCAACTTACAAACAAGAAGTTGATTGCCTTCTTGTACAAATTCTTGAAGTTGATCCATGTAGATGTCTTCTTTCAAGCTTCCATTCAAGAATGTCGTCTTCACATCCATTTGATGCATCTCCAAGTCCATTGTTGCCTCAATTGACACAATAATTCTAATGGTGGTGAATTTGGCCACATGAGCAAATGCCTCATTAAAATCAACACAAGAAACTTGTGAATAGCCTTTGGCAACCAATCTAGCCTTGTATCTCATAATATTGTCCATTGCATCCCTTTTTGTTCTAAACAACCACTTACAACCAATTGAAGATTGATTTGGTGGAAGTTAAGTCAATTCCCATGTTCCATTGTCCATGAATGATTTGTATTCTTTTTCCACAGCATTCTTCCACTTCATAGCATCCGTGGACTTCATTGCATCACACAAACTTAATAGATCAGCAAGAAGAACAACATTGGCATGCTCTTCACTTACTTGAGGAAATATGTGGTCCTTCCACCATTCACCATGTGGTTTTCTTTCTCTCAAAGGATATCTTCTTTCATTTGGAGAGGCTTCATCTTCTTGCACTTCATGTTGTCTTCTAAGCTTCTTCTTCCTTAAAGCTTGTCTTTTCTCACTTAAAGGTTGATACTCTTCATGATCATCATTATCATCAATATCTTCATTGTATTCATTGTTGGTTCTAATAATTGAAGGCACACTATGTTCTACCTTCTTTGGTACTTCACCTTGATTTGCATTTCTTCCATCTTCATTGTCACCATCATCTTTTTCTTTTTTCTTTGCTAAAATTGATGATGTGTCCATAAACATACCATTGCTCCCACTTGGACACATCTCTAAGTGCTCAAAAGCACTCTTATGCTCCAAAAACTCAATAGCACAACTTTTGATGATCTTCTTGGTTTTTAAATATATTAGCCTATATGCCTTTGTACCTTTACAATATCTAAAAAATACACATTTTTTACTCTTTGCATCAAGTTTGGATCTCATGAAATTTGGTACCTTTGCATAAGCAATCCATCCAAAGATCCTTATGTGTGAAACACAAGGTTTCTTGCCACTCCAAGCTTCTTGTAGAGTCATTGATGTGAGTCCACTTATAGGTCACCTATTCCTTGTATACACTGAAGTAACCATGACTTCAGCCTAATACTCATGCCCAAGGTGTTGTGCATAAAGCATACTCCTTACCATCTCCATAATGGTACAATTTCTTCTTTCAACAATTCTATTTTGTTGTGGAATGTAAGGAGTAGAGGTTTGTCTTGTAACACCTTGATCTTTTAAGAATTCATCAAAATGCTTTGATATATATTCACCTCTATTGTTTATGCACAATACTTTGATCTTGCATTCACATTATTTCTTTACAAGAGCTTTAAACTCCTTAAACTTTGGAAAACATTCACTGTTAGTTTTAATGATGTAAATTCATACTTTTCTTTAAAAATCATCAATGAATGTGACAAAGTACCTTGCTCCTCCAATTGATGGTATTTTCATTGGTCCTTAAACATCAAAATGCACAATCTCTAATAAATTGGTTGAACGTGTTGCAATTCCATTTGGAAATGAACTCCTTTATTGTTTGCCTTATATACAACCTTCACAAGCAAGTATCATGGCATTGTCACTAAAATAACCAAGATCCAAGCCACTTACCATGGATTAAAGTTCTTTCATGCATTTGATATTTAAATGACCAAGTCGTTGATGCTAAATTCCAAACTTATCTTGGTCTTATGGAAAATCAGCAAATACAGCCACTTCAACTCCATTCACCTTCTTATAATTGTTGAAGTAGAGATTTCCATTACTAAGGCCTTTGGCAATATGTTGTCCATCCATTGTCTTCACGAAGCATCCATTCATATCAAATTGAATGTTACAACCATATAATACAAGTTTGCTGACCGAAAGAAGGCTCTTTTTCATCTTTGGCACATGTAAGACTTCTTTTAATTTGATCATATTGATTTGGTGTCAAAGACAAGAACATAATAAAGAAAAATAAACAAATGAGACTTCTTTCAAAGAAGGATGACAAAATAGAAATAACTTGATATATATATTAAAAAAGAAACTGGAATGGCTATTGCCAAAAGACAAGAAAACTAGAGACCCTTGAAATTAGATTGGAAGCAAGAAAGGAGTTGACAAGAGTAAAGAGGGCTTCACTCTTGTCTCTATATATACTATCTAACTAGATGCTACGTGGTGACGTTCTATAGGACCTCCAATATGTGTTGACTTTGTAAGATACATACCTTAACTTACAAGGCAAGTTTTTCTACGTGTCGGCCACATAGTTAGCTTGGTCTTCAAGCTAACAACATGTGTGGCACATGGCCAACTTGTTGACCACGTTTCTAATCCAAAAAGTCAATTAAAGACACCTATAAAATCAAAGCAACATCTATGAAGCTTCCAAGAAGCTTCTGTATCAAATATTATAGAATTAACTTACTTTTATATATTTTTATTTACTTCTACCTATTTATACATGTAATTATTGGCTTACATGTATATGTCCGTGACATTACTCCCCCTTCTAGGGACGAGTTCCATAAGGAGTGGTTATCATATGTTGAGGAAATCTATGATGCGACAAATTATATTCGCCACATATTGTGATCTTTGTTCTCTTCGAAGATGATTGATAGGGCCTCTAAACCATTGGTAGTGTCCTATACCAGGGCGAGAAGACGACCTAGTTATTTGATCATTGTTGAGGCCTTTATAACTTCCTTCGAATAAAACATTTGAAACACCATCGGAAGTTG